ATGGGACCTTGGGCAAGTCACTTAACCTTGATTGCCTCCCCCTCTAGAAAAAAAAAAGTTTTCCCTTATTAACTCTCTCTACATATATATGTATATGTGTGTGTATGTGTGTGTGTGTATAAACATATGTGTGTATGTGTGTATATATACATATATACATACACACACACACACACACATATATATGGACCAAAATGCCCTGCAACTCTTACATTTTCAAACAGTCCTCTGCCTCATTTTGTGTCCTAGAGACTGTTTCTTCACACTAACATTTTTCCAGTTTTTAATAAATAAAAATTGTTTTTATGCTACTTTAAGCTATTAAACTTTACATATAAGTGAGGCACTGTGTGATATCCTTCACAAAGTATTTATTAAGAGTCTGCACTTAGACACTATACAAAATGCTAGGGATACAAGTACAATAACAAGTATATATAAAAATATATATACAGCCAAATATAAAGTTTACAAATATGTACAAGGTAGTTAAATACAAGGCATTTGGGGAGGAAAGGCACTAGTAGTTGGGGGTGGGGGATAAATCAGGAAAGGCTTCATATAGAAGATGGTGCCTGAGCTATATCTTAAAGCAAGAGAGGAACTCTGTGAGGCAGAGATAAAGAGAAGAGTCATTCTAGGTATGAGGAATGACATTCAAGGTCACTGAAGATGGATTTCAGTGACTTATATTTACAATATAATTTATCTTTTTTCTGAAACTACTGAAATCCCATCTTACAATTGTGTTTCTTCAAGCACATTATTTTTACCAACTTTTATTAAAACAAAGTTCTTTTCCTCTTCTTTTAGGCATTAACATGTCTATAACAACAACAATGCCTTGTATCCTTTAATTGGTTGGTTAGTCAATAGACATTTATTATGCCCCTACTATGTACCAGGCACTATGCCAAGCCCTGGGTATACAAAGGAAGGTTAGTGACAGTCCATGCTCTCAGGGAGCTCACAGTCGAATGGCAGAGTTATGGGGTGATGGGGGGGGCAAGGTATAACATTCAAATAACTATGTACAAATAAGGTATCTACAGGATCAATCGGAAATAATTAGCAGAGGAAAGGCACTAGAATTAAGGGTGATCATTAAATGCTTCCTGTAAAACATAGGATTTCAGCTGGGGCTTAAAGGAATCCAGAAAAGCCAGGAGGCAGAAGTGAGGAGGGAAAGCATTCCAGGTATGTGGGACAGCCAAAAAAAATGTCTGGAGTAGGGAAATGAAGTGTTTTGTGCAAAGAACAGCAAGAAGGATACTGTCACTGGATGTTAGAGTACAACAGGGGGAGGTGTCGGGGGAAGGTATAAAGTATAAGAAGACTAGAGGCGGGGCAGGTTATGAAGGGCTTTGAATGCCTTTCAACAGAGGGTTTTATATTTGATCCCTCAGGTGACAAGGAGTCACTGGAGTTTTATAAGTAGTGGGGTAAACATTATTGGACCTGCATTTTAGGAAGATCACTTTGACAGATGAGCAGAGGATGGATTGGGGTGGGGAGAGCCCTGAGGCAGGCAGACCAACCAGCAGGCTATTGCAATAATTTAGCCATGAGGTGATGAGAGCCTGTATTACGGTGATGGCAGTGTCAGAGGAGAGGAGACATGTGAGAGATGTTACAAAGGTAAGGAACTTATGGGTCCTTCAGTAGAGTGTTGCCAGCAGCAGGAAGTTTATGCATTGGAAAGGATGGCCACTGACAGAAATCCAACACCTAGCCTAGCTAGCCCAAAGACATGGACCTAAAAAGAGAATAGCCAAGTCAAAGATGAAATGGTGATTCAGCATTCCTATGAAATGCTTCATCTTTTGATGTTTTAGATAATAACCTTCTGGTAGAGTTTAATGGGAGTTATTGTCCGTCCTGCATTTCCAAAGAGGACCAATGACATTTTAGGATGATGTCTTGACTCCTGCGTGTTATTAGATTTAAGTGAGGCAGAATTGCACAAAGACGTCAACCTCACTCTCTCTTCCAGAGTTAGGGATACCCAGTGGAAAGACAAAAGTCAGGAAGACTGGCGATGATCCTGGATGCAGTGGATGACCTCGGCATCTTTGATATCTGACCAAACTCCACGGCTGCTGCTTCAGCCACCTTCATGGCCATTGGAACAAACTGTTTTCATCTGCCCATTCATCCAGGGGAATTCTTCACGTGCTTAGGGTAGACACTCCCCTAACTCACTGTTGGGTTTGAGGCCCCTCAGTTACCCTCAACCTGGTTTAGCCCATCTGCTAAGATGGCTTACTGGGTTGTGGCCTATGAGCATACTAGAGATTCTTGGAGCCACAGGGGATAAGTTAACTGTCAGGTGGACACCAAAGGTGGATGAGCAGCCCTGAAAAGCATTTGGCAAGCCCTCACACCAGAGTTGCTAGTCCTTCTTAAACACCCATACACCCCATATTGGTAGTTATATAATAGTAGTAATAAATTACTGCTCATTGTTTAAGACTTTATCATTGCTATGTTAAGGTTGCATAAATCTCCTTTTGTTAACTGTTCAATGACTTAGGAGTGCCTTATTTCTTCCCACTATCAAATCTGAACAGGGTGCTGGTGTCACATCCATCTATAACATCTATCAACACTTTTCATTTTCTTCTTTTGTTAAATTTGCCAATCTGATGAGTGTGAGGTAGAGCTTCTCTATAGCTTTTCAATGACCCTCTTAAACTGAGGTACCCTGTTTATTATTATTAGAACACAATACTCTAGATGAGGTCTGACAAGAAAAGACTACAGTGTCCCTGGAAGCTGTGCCCTTCTTAATTCAGCCCAAGACCACATTAGCTTCTTTGGCTGCTACATCACTTTGCTGACTTTAACTGAGTTTGCTGTTCACTAAAAATTCCCTTGTGCTTTACAAACTGCTATCCAAACATGCCTCCACCATTTTGTGCTTGTGAAGTTGTCTTTTTTTTTTTGTGCACAAGTGTAAAAATTTACACGTATCCCTATTGAATTTCATCTTACTAGATTTATCTCAATGTTCTTAGCCTGTCAAAATAATTTTAGATTTTGACTGACATTCAGTGTGTTAGTAACCACTGCCAGCTTTATGTCATAGACAAACAGCACAGAGCCACAACAGATCCCTGTATTTTTACAGTATAGACCACCAGCTACACTGACTTTGAACCATTAATGACAAATTAATTGAATTGAATTCTTGAGTTAATAGGTTTTGTGACCTTGAGTAAGACCTTGGTGGAATAACAGAGAATCAGTCAGTCTAACAGGGAAGAATAAAATACCATACATGGAATACTGCTTTAGTCCTGGCAGCCACGTTTTAAAAATGAGATTGACTAATTGCCATTAAGGAGGGCAAGCACATACTTTGGAAATCTTAAAGAGCAATGAAAATATGAAATCTTATCATCATCATTATTATTCAGTGATGAACAAAAGAGAGCAGAGATTTAAGGAATGGGTAGTTCTCAGTAAGGGAATAAGACAGGAAATTTTTCTTGGCATGCCGGTCTTTCCTTTGGGATGTTAAACTACCTAGATATGCTCAGTCACATAACCCATTGCTCCCAGTGACCTGATATAGAGGTGTATATCACTCTTATTGAAGAGGTAAGAGATATAGATGACTGGGTTCATTTAACAAATAAAGGGCTGTTCCTATCCACCAGGTTACTTAGGAGTGCAGGTTGTCTTATTTCTAGCTACATCTTTGTTTCGTTTCTTTCCCAGGTATTGGAAGAGATGAGGAAAGAACATTTATGAAGGGCTAATATGGACAAAATGTTTGCTAGGTTTTCCGGAAAGACTGGATTGTAGATATGCAACTACAATAATCTAGGAGGTGCCTAACCATTCTCAGTTTCTGTGCTTACTGCCAGTGGTCCACACAGCAGCACCAGATGGACAGCAATCTCTCCCTTGCTTTTGGAAGGGGTGCCCCCATTCACAGGGTACTTTGAGAGCTCCCGAAGTCCCCAAGGACTAGAAGAGAGGGGAATGAAGCATGACCCCAGCTCCAGTTACTCAGTCTGAGAAAGACTGAGAAAGAAACCTAGCTCAGGGTGATTCCCAAAAGAACTGTGTGTGTATTTTCCCAGGGTGATTCTCAAGGGGAGCCATTATGTGTGTGTGTTTCCAGAAGTTGCAGGGAACCCAGGGAATCCTCTCTCTCTCTCTCTCTCTCTCTCTCTCTCTCTCTCTCTCTCTCTC